AAAGTTGGAACTTAAATAAGATTGTAGTGTTAAGAGTGACTCCAAAAGTGAAGCAAATAGTTCAGGATATATCGCATCCTGCCGTAACTGAACAGATTCTGTTTGTTGTTTCAGCGTTGCTGTGGAATTTCTTTCTCATTATTTCCTTCTCTCTGAATCTCTCTCCCTCTTTCCATGGGCAGCATAGATAGGAGTGTTTGCCCAGCAGTGGGAGGCAAAGGCATGAGCATACCCGTAAGCAAGAAGTCCAGGGAGCTCCTTGCGCAAATCAAAACCCTTAACCTGTGGCTTTTCTAAAAAGCAGGTAAATAAATCATGTGCTGCTTGCCTTTCCATCTTACCGTCAGCGCTGTTGCAGCCCTACAAGGTTTGGCAGCACGTTACGGCCAGGACTCTCCTCTGAGGTCGCCTGGGGCGCGGCACCGTTGCTTTTCACCGTCCTTGCTGCGGAGGACCCGTCCCCTGTCGCCGACTCCCATGGCCTTCGCTTTTTAATGTCCCAAAGGTCCCAAAGGTCCCAAGGGTCCCATTTGTTCGGGCGCCAGGCGGGAGACAAGCAGCACTCAATATGAATGATCAGCAAGTCTCATTTATTGGCAACTCCAAACTCCCTATATAACATCAATAATTAGGCTCACACATAGTGCAAAAGCAAGCTCATTATTGGGTATTTCGTTTAAGGACAACTCCACCTAGTTCCACATTCTTGTGGTCGTTCATCTGTGCTGAATCCACATTCTTCTGATCACAGTGTCCTGTTCTCAGTTCACAGTTATCACTAAGGTCTTTCTGACATTGCAACATCTCATACCAACTACACTCTACTGTTGTTTAATTCTTTCTCAGCTAATTGCTGCATGGGAACACGACCTTTGTTAGCTAGCCACTCTTCCACACTGTTGAGCTTTGGGAGCCTCCCGGGAAGCACCAGCCCTCCCCAGCCCACCCTTGGTAGCACTTTTTCTTTTCTCTCTCCTGACAATTTTATCCCCAAAACTGCCGTGGGAACGTTGTATCCAAGCACATCCTCCAGCGCTGCACTTTCCTCCTGTGAATTCCCTGTGCAGGGAATGTGTCTGTGCTTTTCCCTGCTCTGTTCACTGACAAACAAACCTGAGCCTGTGGGACTGTCAGAGCTCCTTCATGCCATGAAATCAGGTTGTGTTTCTCATGGCATGTTCTGGAGGAGCTTTTCTTGGTGTGTCTTGTGCTGCTGGAAATGACACAAGAGCCAGGAGGGAACAGAAGCTGCTGCTGCCCGTTGGCTCAGGGCCAGGGAACCAAGTTGTGCTCCCGGGCAGTTGGGCCCTGCTGGAAGCAGAGCCGCGTTTCCCTTGAGCAGCTCAAGCTTGTGACAGCTCCAAACAGGAAACCTCAGCAGAAAACTCTTCCTCCAAACTCAGCTGCTTTCCCCCCTGCAGCTGTTTGGGAAAGAGCCTCAAAGCACAGACTCTGCTGGGAGCCATTGGTGCATTTCCTCCCTCCCGGCAGCAGCAGCTCCTGAGCCCTTCACGGGCTCCTGGCCCTTCCCAAACCCTTCAGCTCCCTTGGAACTCTCAGCAGTCACTAACATATGTATTTCTTTCATATTTAAGCTGCATTTAAACTTCTCTTTTTCTCTCCTCTCTATCTTTTTAATCTCCTCTTTATCTCCTTTAATCCCGTCAGCACCAGTAGGATGGGGATGGAGTCTTGGGGTGGGTGTGGGATGAACTGAGGATCCAGCAGAGAAGGGCAAGGCAGAGGGGAGAGGACTCAGCCAACCCTTCTCCTGCTCTCTCCTCCCCCAGGCTCCAGCTAAAGCAAGTCAGACTGGAAAGGATCCCACAAATGCTGTGTTCTCCTCCCTCTGAGCTTGGCTGGGGATCCTCAGCTTCAGCCTGGTGCAGTGGCTGAGATTCGCTAATTTGAGTTTTTTGGCTAATGCACTAAATAATGTGGTGGGTTTAGCGCTGGCTGAAATCTCCAGGGCACTTACTCATTTCTCACTGTGAGATATGGATTAGGAGAAGGGCAAAATAGGCTTAAAACTTAGAAGGAATAAAGGAACTTTATTAACAGGACTACAAGAATGAGAAACTCTAATAAAACTTTCAGAACGCCTTTCCTCTCCTTTTTTTTTTTCCTGACACTGTAGAGATAGAACTTGGGATGTTAACACAGTATTAATTACACAATAGTTTTGTATTAGTTTTTGTAGGGAGAGAAGTTTTTTCCTGTTATGTCATGGAGGCTTTTTTACAAGGAATGGATTTTTTTGTGCTTTTTCATTTTTACAAATAGCAGCCGCCTGGGAAGAAATTTTTCTGTCGTGACATTTTCCTGATTTTTACAGCCCTCCTAGAGGTGTGTCAATGGATTATGAATTCATGGGGTTTTATTTTAAGGATGAGTTGTTTGAAGGCAAAGGTTCTCTTCATTTGTTTTTGTGATCATCGTTGGAAACAGAAGTTTTCTTCTCTCCCTGGGGGCAAAGGGCATTTTATTGTTTTTATTTGTTTTTCTGTTCAAACTTTTATGGGATAACAGTTACTTTAACATGTGTTTGGTTTCTTTAATGGATGCTTTTGTTTAGATTTACAGTTTTAATATATTTTTATACTTTTTTCATTAATTAAAGGAGTTATTTTGTATATCATTGTTTATTTCTATGGCTTTACTATAAGAATATTTTTGTTTCAATTACCATTTTTTCATTACTTTTCTATCTAATGTTTGACTTCTTTTTTTTACTGACTTTGATGTTTTTATGTTGTTTTTTTTGTGTGTTATTACTCTGTCCTTTTCTGTCCCTGGAGAG